AGTTATGCCTTTTGCTAATTTGAAATTCGGTGAATAGCTTTTGGGTTTCCATAAAACAAATTTTTCCTACTAATATACCTTTACAAAACATTGTACACATACCAACCTATTGTAGTTGTATCATTTGCTAATTTGTATATTATCAGGTAAATAATTTGTTGGTATGCAATTACATGTATTATTCAGGAGTATATCTCAGAAATCACTCCTGATATATTTATAAAATTTTGTTCTCCCTCATACATCTGGAACTGAGCTTATACCTTTTCAGTCTGTTCATATATTTGATATTGTATCAATGGTGGTGGTAGTTTATAATTAAGCTCACTTTATGGCCAGTATAACCATGTTTAGTATTGGAATGTTGGATATTATCTTCATGTTACTTGTTATTTATCAGAATTCAATGGTTGACAATATAAGTTTTATCAGAAATACATATTGAATTCTCACTGTAGGCGGAGGACTGGGAAGTTCTAACTAGCTTAGTTTTCAAAAGTCGTTGCAACCCACCGCTGTGGAAAGTTTTAATATTTATTTCTCGAGAAATAACCCTAATGTATTGTAAACAAAACTGCCACACTCCGATTTATGTGCCAGAAACATTTTAAACAAATAATCTAAACGACAGCATTTTTTGTCCTCGCAATACTAAAAGTAGTGAGACGGCGAGCTTTCAGCCAATGAAAATCTAGTAAAAAGCGAATAACAGTAAATACACGTGACCTTAAGGAGAATTTAATAGATCAATGTCGTTGTTTTGCTATAATATAATTAGGTCGATTTTTTTTTAGCCAAACTCGTTGTAAATCATATTTCTAATGAAAAGAAAGTGCGCACTATTAATACTGGTATTTACCGGTGTCGGCTTAAATGTAATAAGTGCATAAATGTGAAAGATTTAGGTCAGCGATGACTCATTGGGTAGAGTGTCCAACCGACAGCTTCTTCCCACTTGGGGATTATGATTATGTCACATGTGCCGTGTTTTCGGACCCTCCACCCCATCAGACGGAAAGTTTTCCCCGATGCCAGACAAGCTTTACCCCTCTTACCCCCGTGAAGCCGCTGTCGGTAATACCTGATGGGCTTGTCCTCTTTCAACAAATTTTAAGCTGTTTGTAGCCTGTGTAAATGTGATGAATCAATTTATTATTCTTAAGAAAGTAGGCCTACACGACACTGTGTAATTAATTTTTGCATGCATCGTGTTTAACGTCCCACCACAGCTCCGAGTATTAAGATAATTTGAGAAGGGTTGGAAATGTTGTTTGATAGCAATGATATAGGCCTATATATAATCGAATATAAATATAGATAATTGCCAAATATCAAAATCAATCAAGGTGTGTAAAGCTATATTTTATTAGAGGCTCTCTTCCTACTGTAGTCTTTGTGTGTGTAGACATACATACTTTGCATTGTCGAGTTCACCCTAATATTAACTGGTTAGAATAGATCCCCTAAGCCCACCCTTCCTCATCTCTAATAAAGTCGACACTGTAGCATCCAAATAATATAACTATGCATAAATCAAAGGCAAGGCCCAGCACTCCCCCCCCCCCCCTCATACACTGCTTAATCCCCGAACCCTTCATATAAGGTTGGAAATACCTTTTAATATCTATATACCCACAAAAGCACCCCTATTAAGGTTTGACAATGTAATAACAATTAACTGATGTTTTGTGGACAGTTATTTGTGTTTGCTAAATTATGACTTTTTGAAATTAATGCATAGGTATAATACAGGTTGTGTTCTAACAACTGGCTAAAATGTCCCTTGTTTGTCCATTCCCCTATTTTAAAAAATATATATAGACTACTTGGTCTTGCTCAAAGGAGCGGTCTATGGGAGTTTTTAAAAATAAATTATTTTTTTTAACATTATTTATTAAAGATAATTGGATTATAGAGCAGGCAACCCCACTCTCCAAAAAAAAAAAAAAATACAAACAGATATAAATATTACAATCAAAACATAATGAAATTACAATAATAAATCAAATACATAAATAAACACATATATATATATATATATATTACATACACTCACACACACATGTACACACTACACATACATGTACACTAATTCATTGATAATTAACATCAAACAACTGAGAAAAAATGTACCATAATAGACTAAAATAAATATGTATGCTGCACATGTCTGATATATAATAATATAAAGAAATAGTTAAGATTTTTAATACATTTAGTTCAAAATTTAAACATTAAAGTAGCTAAGTCTCTAATTCAACATTGAAAACACGATTTATTTGTCAAATTAAATCAACATTCATGTTGTGATCTTACCGGAAAAAGATGGGCTTTTGATATCCAATATTTAAGACAAAATAAACATTTTACCATTTGTACACGAATCGTGTACCATAATGCGCTTCAGCCCCAGTTGTATCAAGAGACTCGAGGGACGAGGCTAGACACATTGCACCAAATCAAACGGCATATATAGACTGGAACAACCAGACACTAGAAATTTGCACTCGCTTGAGACTGCTGGCTTATTTCGCCGAACATAGATGATTTGAAATTGGAGTAAAAACGGAAACCATTGAATTTAAATCAGTTTATATACATTCATACTACAGTATTATATGCGTTGCGACCCACTTTTGTCAATTTCTAGGTCTCAAGTGTTAGTAATTTAGCTCCTTTAAATATTACTGTAATGACTTTAATTGACAAAAGTTCTGATTTTAATGAAAATGAATATGGAAAAAAACAGTATGTACAAGCTCTGTTGATAAGATATGAATTTATAGGCTTGAATCAGCATACAATAGGTATGTAAAAACATAAATACAAAGTCATTTTAAAATTTAATAAAACATGTTGATTTTGATTTTATAATTATACTAAATCATTCATGGACTAAAGTGTACAAAATATGCATAATGAATTTGTTATGGTTAATATATGTTATAGAGAGTTCAATGATGGGTTCAATATTAACAAAGATTACTTGAATTGTAAAACTGTTCAAAATTAAACTCGACTAATGATACAGATTTAAAACATTAATTTTACTATAAGATAAAACAAAATTATAATCCGATGGAATAACTTGATTTTAAAAATATCAGAAATTAAGAGAAAAAAAAATCACTAAACTTAAGCCGATCATAAGGGACAGACACAAAAAAAACCCTGATGTAAGAGTTATAAACTATGTGAGAATGTAGCATTCAACTGAGGATAAAATCCATGCTCCCATATATTGCTTTAATTTTAGTAATGCCAGGTTAAAGGTGTACAAAGAATTGGGGATAGAAAATCATTTTAAAGAAAAGGAAAAAATAATAATACTTTTAAAACAAATATTTGTTGATGTAATAATGAAAATATATATATTTATTTTTTTTTATTGAGAATGTATTGATTATTATCTTTGTAACAATATATAGTTTTTACATTCAACATTCTTCTCATTTTGACAGTCTTTACATCCACATAGATCTGTACAGGAAAGAGCAGCAACTTTACAGGAACATCTTTTTGATTCACCTTTGAAGCTTCTTCCTTTGTTCCTAAAGAAAATAGGAAATATGATAGAAAAAACATAATTGTATGTCACGTGTGAATTTTTTTTTTGAACAAGAGAGAGAGAGAGAAATGGGGTTTAACGTCCACTCGACACAAACTAGGTCATTTCGGGACTAACATACGGTTTAATTTTATTTACATAATTCGCTTGCGCGTAGGGGTCTTTAGCAGTGGGAGGAAACCGGAGGACCCGGAGAAAACCCACGAGGTTGGACAGGCGACCCTACTCCTTGTCACGTACAACCAGGGATTCGAAACCACGCCAGTCGACTCAATGACAGACTTTATGATACAGCGCTCGCACGCTAACCATTCAGCCATCCAACCCCCCTTTTTTGAACAATGCAATCTCTAAATGAAATCAAAATCTTAAATTGCTTATTTAAATACCATTTCCGCCTGTAGGATCAATAATCTTTGCAGATCTTTTACGGCTTAGACTAATTGCCTTTGATTTTTCTGTAAAGGCTATTCCAAACTATGCTTCCACAAGACAGCAGGTTTTGTTTTAGACCAATCACCGACGGAATATAAATTTGACAAAGTTCCATGGAACCTGACTAAAATGATTCTAATAAGAATGTAATTTTAAATATTATGTGCTGTACTCCATATTTCTAATATTACTTTATTGAAAATGATAATTCATAACCCTTGACATTGTAATTAATGACTAATGTAATTTGTTAGTTATGTTTCATAACAATGTTTTGCCCTTCACCAGTTTAGGCTTCAGTTTTGTTTTAAAACTTGAAAGTTTGCCCACCACTGGTTTGCGTGATACCATGTATTGTGAACAAGTACTATATATATTTCTTAACAACAACCAACGTGAACACTCACAGCCTAGAAAAAATTTAAATACTAAGACTAAGAAAATAATAATAAGAAAATAACTAATAATAACATACAAACATACCTGCAATGTTTTTTTCTTCTCCATCCAAAGTCTGCCACTGTTTTGAATATTCCACACAATGCCTCCAGGTGTTGCCGTTAAAAACCAGTAACTTGCAGGTCTGTGTTGCATTCTGATGAATAGGGCACTTCATTTTTCTGGTCAGAATGCCAGAAAAGTGTGTCCTTGTTGACTATAATACGCCATGATTGAAGGATCGGGGCTAAACGTTTTCTTTATTTTGATTGGCCAAAATGGCCTTCGGCAACAAACTTCATGTGTATTCCTACGCGTGTAATGTTTATTTTTTAGGTGATTAGGTTAAAAAGAATTCCATTTTAAAAAAATAATTATTAAATACTGGCACATGCCGAATGTGTGGAGATCATGGTTTTTAAATTAGTACAAAGAGACGTGTAATTTAAAAAATTAAAATCTCCCACAGAGGTTGTTGCAACGAACTTGAACGATAAATGTCTTCGGTCTTTCGCCTACTGGTATTAATTTCAAAATTGTTATGTTTTATTTTTTTCAGGACCCGAAGAAGATTTGCCAAGAAAACTTGAGTTTATGGAATTTGTATGTCATGCGCCTTCAGATTATTATAGAGCCAAGAGTGCTCCGTATCCCACAAACAATGAAAAACCTGATCTATGTTTTATATGGACGTCAATAGATAGTCATGTTATTAAACCTGCTCTATCAATCAGTGAAATGTTTGGCATGGAAGAAACTGTGAAAAAGAAAACCACTAAAGAAAAAAAATCAGATAAAAGTTTGTAGAAAATAGTAAATTATACACTTGTAAAAATAAATTCTAGAAATACTTTTGTGTTAATTCATAGTTTTGCTGTTTCTTTAATTCAACTGTACATGATTTTACTTAGACTGGAATGGATAGAAAGACAAGATTTTTATTCCTTATTTCTATGTGCAATGCTTCGGATAATATAGGAACTCCTTACAAATTAATTCTTTATCCCACATATCCATGAGATTTTAGATAAATTTTAATTTTGGACAACGTTCATCATTATTATACGTCCACATTCATAATGTGAACGTATTATGCCGTCGCCCCTGTCTGTGTGTGTGTGTGTGTGTGTGTGTATGTATGTATGTGTGTGTGTCTGTGGTTCGCCTACAGGGCGCAATTCTTCATGGATTTTCTTCAAACTTGGTATACTTATTCCTTATACCCCAAGGAAGATCCCTATTGTTTTTGGTGCATGCCCGACCCCCCGGGGCAGAGCCACGCCCATTTCTAGTATTTGTTTGTTTGTCGTCTACAGGCCACATTTCTTAACTAATAATCTTGAAACTTTGCATACACATTCTTTGTACCCTAAGGAAAATCCCTATCGTTTGGGGTGCATGCCCAACCCCCAGGGGCAGAGCCACGCCCATTTTCTTTTCGTGTGTCTTTGTGTCGCCTACAGGGCGCAATTCTTAGTGGATTTTCTTCAAACTTGGTATACTTATTCCTTATACCCCAAGGAAGATCCCTATTGTTTTTGGTGCATGCCCGACCCCCAGGGGCAGAGCCACGCCCATTTCTAGTATTTGTTTGTTTGTCGTCTACAGGCCACATTTCTTAACTTATAATCTTGCATACACATTCTTTGTACCCTAAGGAACATCCCTATCGTTTGGGGTACATGCCCAACCCCCAGGGGCAGAGCCACGCCCATTTCCCATTTTCTTTTCGTGTGTCTTTGTGTCGCCTACAGGGCGCAATTCTTACTGGATTTTCTTCAAACTTGGTATACTTATTCCTTATACCCCAAGGAAGATCCCTATTGTTTTTGGTGCATGCCCGACCCCCAGGGGCAGAGCCACGCCCATTCCTTATATTTATTTATTTGTTTGTCATCTACAGACCGCATTTCTTAACGTATCAACTTTACATATTTATTCCTTATACCCTAAGGATGATCCCTATTGTTTTTAGTGCATGCTCGCCTCCCCGGGGCAGAGCCACGCCCATTTTTGTATTTGTTTGTTTGTCGTCTACAGGCCGCATTTCTTAACGTATCATCTTGAAACTTTGCATACTTATTCTTTGTACCCTCAGGAACATCCCTATCGTTTTGGGTGCATGCCCACCCCCCAGGGGCAAAGCCACGCCCATTTTCTTTTTCTATGTGTGTGTGTCGCCTACAGACCACAATTCTTAATCAATTGTCTTGAAATTTTTTCATATGAATTGCTTATACCCTAACGATGACCCCTATTGTTTTTTTACCCCCAGGGGCAGAGCCACGCCCATTTTCTTTTCTTTTTATGTCTGTGTGTCACCTACAGGCCACAATTCTTAATCAATCGTCTTGAAAATTTTTCATATGAATTGCTTATACCCTAAGTATGATCCCTATTGTTTTTGGTGCATGCCCGACCACCAGGGGTAGAGCCACGCCCATCCCTTATATTTATTTATTTGTTTGTCATCTACAGATCGCATTTCTTATCGTATCACCTTGAAACTTAGCATACATATTCCTTCTATCCTAAGGAACATCCCTATTAGTTGTGGTGAATACCCAACCCCCAGGGGCAGAGCTACGCCCATTTTCTTTTTTTATGTCTGTGTGTCACTTGCAGACCGCATTTCTTAATCGATCATCTTGAAATTTTTTTTAGACTTATTCCTTATAGCCTAAGGCTACGTTTTTACACTTATTCCTTAATCCTAAGGCTGGCCTCTATTATTATTTTTGGTGCATGCTCAACCCCTTGGGACAGAGTCACGCCTAATGTTTGTGTGTCTTGTGTTTTGCCTACAGGCCGCAATTCTTAACCGATCCTTTTGAAATGGGGATACCTATTCTAAACGTCATGCTTTTAGAATAAAGACATTGATTGTTTTAAAATAAAAATTGTGTTCTGTTAATGTGAACGAAACGTTAAACTGATAGCAGTCCTACAACCCAGTTTTATTTCACAGACCCTCAATGCAAACTGGACCATATCAAACAAAACAGGAATGTGGACGTATATTGCTGCGTTAGCGATGCTCTTGTTTAGAGAGTTATTGTATACTTCTGGATTCAAATGTAATTTTTAAACTACTTCCCCATGAGACAAGGTTTTTTATCCAACATCCTAAAATTATCATTGACCATCTACAGTAATTTCCGGAGCCTTGAAGCAGCGACCACTAGAGTGAAATCAGAGAAACTATACCTCTGCACTTTGTCACATTATTCATGTCAAAGAAATCAACTAAAATAATCTTTATATTTCCACTTGATTAACATATGATTTTACATACAATAACAATTTCATTCATTGAGAAATAAAGGATATTTACTATGTAAAACAATCATGACTAGTCTTACATTTACTAAGTATTTCCATGCTATTATAACCAATTCTTAAAGATGCATTATGGGAGATTAGATAAATAGCTGGCAGTTCTCACTATAATAGTTAACCAGCAGCTGCCAGGCAGGATACATCCACATTTTGCAAGAGATGGATAGAGAAAAAGCTAAAAACAAAAATGATTTTTTGTACAATCAGGGGCAATAATTCAGAAAGTTATGGTCTGAAATGCGCAAATATCAAAAGGGACTGAGATCTTTGGGATATAAAGATATGTTTTAAGTTCCATCAGAATTGGATGAAAATTGTGACCTCTAGAGGGTCCACAACCTTCGTATTGCATACTTTTACACAATTTGTGTACAAAGAGCGGCCATTTTGTCGGGCAGTTTCATTTTGATTTTCCCGAAATTCGAATTCAACCTTCATTATGGTGGAATGGTGAAATATTTAAACGGTTTTTCAAATCGGAAAAAAAATTGTGACCTCTAGAGACTCAGCAAGCTAAAAATGCGATTTTTCGAACAATCAGGAGCCATAATCCAGGAAGTTAGTTACGTTTGGATATACGCGATTATCAAAAGGAACCAAGATCTTAGTGTTTAATGATGATATATTCACGTTTTTTTTTTAAATCAGATAAAAATTGTGACCTCTACATGGACAGCAAGCTAAAAACATATTTTTTTGTACATTCAAGGGCCATAATTCAGGAAGTTACGATCCGATACGCGCAAATATTGAAAGGAACCAAGATCTTTAGGTTATAAACATGTATTTCAACTCTCATCAAAATCAGATAACCAGCGGCTGCCAGGCAGGATACGCCCACATTTTCGAGAGATGGATAGAGAACAAGCTAAAAAAAAAATAGATTTTTCCTAACATCAAGGGCCATAATTCTGGAAATTAAAATTTGATATGCGCAAATATCGAAAGGAACCGAGATCTTTGGGTTATAAACTTACATTTCAAGTTTCACTAAAATCGGATAAAAATTGTGACCTCTATTACTATATGGTCCAAAACCTTGATATACCATATTTTTTATGCTATTTGAGAACGAGGCGCGGCCATTTTGTCTCTCAGTTTTGGGTCGATTTTCACGAAATTCGAACTCAGCCGTCCTTAGGGTGTAATGGTGATATACTAAAACGTTTTTTTAAATCGGATAAAAATTATGACCTCTATAGGGTCAACAAGCTAAATATGCGAATTTTCCTACAATCAAGGGCCATAATTCAGGAAATTACAATTCGATATGCGCAAATATCGAAAGGAACCAAGATCTTTGGGTTATAAACTTACATTTCAAGGTTCGTCAAATTAGGATTAAAATTGTGACCTCTATAGGGTCCACAACCTTGATATACCATATTTTTACGCTACTTGAGAACGAAGGGCAGCCATTTTGTCTCTCAGTTTTGGGCCGGTTTTCACAAAATTCGAACTCAGCCGTCCTGAGGGTGTAACGGTGATATAATAATACGTTTTTTTAAATTGGATAAAAATTATGACCTCTATAGGATCCACAAGCTAAAAACGTGATTTTTGCGTACAATCAGGGACCATAATTCAGGAAGTTAACGTCCGATATGCGCGAATATCGAAAGGAACTGAGATATTTGGGTAATAAACTTACATTTCAAGATTCAACAAAATCGGATAAAAATTGTGACCTCTATAGGGTCCACAACTTTGATATACCATATTTTTACGCTATTTGAGAACGAAGTGCATCCACTTTGTCTGTCAGTTTTGGGCCGATTTTCACGAAATTCGAACTCAGCCGTCCTTAGGGTGTAACGGTGATATAATAATACAGTCTTTTAAATCGGATAAAAATTATGACCTCTATACGGTCCCACAAGCTAAAAACGCGATTTTACGTACAATCGGGGGCCATAATTCAGAAGGTTACGGTCCGATATGCGTGAATATCGAAAGGAACCGAGATCATTGTGTTGTAAACTTACATTTCAAGTTTCAACAAAATCGGATAAAAATTGTGACCTCTATAGGGTCCACAACCTTGATATACCATATTTTTACGCTATTTGAGAATGAAGGACGGCCATTTTGTCTGTCAGTTTTGGGCCGATTTTCACGAAATTCGAACTCAGCCTTCCTTAGGGTGTAACAGTGATATATTAATACGTTTTGTTAAATCGGATAAAAATTATGACCTCTATAGGGTCCACAAGCTAAAAACACGATTTTTCGTACAATTAGGGGCCACAATTCAGGAAGTTACAGTCGGATATGCGCGAATATTGAAAGGAACCGAGATCTTTAGGTTATAAACTTACATTTCAAGTTTCAACAAAATCGGTTAAAAATTGTGACCTCTATAGAGTCCACAACCTTGATGTACCATATTTTTACGCTATTTGAGAACGAAGGGCGGCCACTTTGTCAGTTTTAGGCCGATTTTCACGAAATTCGAACATCAGGAGCCATAATCCAGGAAGTTACGTTCGGATCTACGCGATTATCAAAAGG